GCCCTAAAAAAGTTGATGTCCAAACCTGAACCAGGTTCCATAGTCTTGCCGACTCTGCAACGGGTTCCAGGGCAGCTGTGTTGGATGGTCCAAGCAATATGACAGGTTTGTTTTCCCTGTTCAGCAGGGTAAATAATGCTCTTATGGCAGTTGCACCACTAGCCTTAAAAAACAACAGAAGGAAATAAATTAACACACGAAGTTGGGACAAACTTCCGTCACATGTGGAGAATCTACTTATGGACGTTTTTTATGTTGTAATAACGGAGCCACGTTATGATCATTTGCCATTCACATCGAATTCTCCTTAAAAGTTATCTATATACAAAGAACGGCTAAAAACAGAAGCCCTTATCCTCCCAACATCAGAATTTTTCATTTTAAAAAAGAAAATGAGAGATGTTTTCCTAGTGTCAAAATTCCCGCTGCTGTAAAATTAGTTTTAAGAGAAAGAAAGATGTTAAAGCAGATGTAAGTACTAATAAAACAAAGCGGAAACAAAACATAACAGGAAAACAAATTGTCAGTTCTGTGTTGTCTGTTTGTCGGTTCGTTAAAAGATATGTAGGGTGTGTTTTTTAGCTGTCTTCGTAGCATTACTTTGTGCAAGGAATTTAAGAATGTTAAAAAAATGTTTAAGTTGATTGTAAAACAGATCGTTTTTCAATAGGAAACGTCTAAAACATGCAAAAAGACGCGTCTAATACCTTATGATTCGAAAATTATTTGTCTGAACAGTATTTCTTATGAACATGCGAAATAAGCTTATTTATTTTTTTCTAAGCTTGCGAGCGGGCGGAATCCTCCAAATCCTGCAACCTGATTGGTTCCGAGAGCAGGCAGTTTTTTACGATCTTGCCCGCTAACCCGGGCGGAATCGTTGGCAGCTTCATCCACAAGTTTGTTTGTTGTTGTGAATGAGCAAAACCGGTGATTCAGAACCATTTTTCTTTTAAAACTTGCTCTACTATTAGCGTTAGCTGGGGAAAAGTGAATTTTGTTATTCAGACAAAACATCCGAAGGGAGAATCAAGCAAGCCAGCCAGGAAAACCGCTAAAGTAAAGCACAACAGGCGGCTCGTGATGTCGCTTCATTAGTTTTATAACCTACGCTGTAAGTACTGCAATCTTGCTCTCATGCACCGTTTATTCGACATTTTTCCTCTGTTTATAGGTGTGTTTTCCATTTTTGCTGTCTGAATCTAGATTCTGCCGTTTTTCATCGAATTTTACCCCGTTAGTTTTCTACTTTTCAGAAAAGATTTGTCACCGATTGCATGTAGCTTTCATCTTAAATAAACAACACGAACAACTTTTCCAGCAGTCGGTTATCGCTGTTTTTATTTCTTTGTTTATATACTTGTTTAGTTTCCCACATCGCCTTCTTTTATTCGAATTCACTTTAAAATCCTAAGATTGGTATCTGTTAGTAGCTCTTTTTATAAAGCCTTTGCGCAGTTTTAATCCCGCTCGATTGAATTAATCTTAAAGCAAACATTCAGCCGAAGAAAATCTTTGATTTATTTTCTTTCCCGTGGCTTTTAATTTCGTCAATTCTTTTATCCTTGTTTGACACTCAGATTACGAATAGTCTACCAAGACACAAAAACCTTTCTTTATTCTAAAAGAGAGCTTACTTTGGAATAATATAAATTACAAGTTAAAAATCATGTTGTAATGTTTTGTTTTGGTTTGCAATCGAACGCGCCCTTCTTCAACACACATAGGTTCGAGGCTGAAGTAAAATTTTCCTGTAACTTTTAAATCTCCGAAGGAAAAAAAATAAAAATGTTATTCACCGGTCTAGGTCGGTCCGTATTGGGAGAAACTGTGCCCTCGGTCTGAGTACCGCAAAGACCTCGGGCACAGTTTCTCCCAATGCGGACCTCCCAGCCGGTGAATAACATATATATATGCAAATGTCATACAAATGATTTAAATTCACATTCCATATGGAGCCTTTCCATATGACGTCACGTCCGACATGTTAGGCCTAGGATAAACGTCGAACTTTTCATGAGACGAACCAAACTCTTATTTGGGTGGACCTAAATTAAGTTAAGATCGTCTGTTGGGTCAGACGTCGAACTTCGAACGCGTCGTACCAATCAACTGAATCAGACCAGAAGCATGCTTCCGATCAGACCAAAAAGCAATTTTTAATAAATTTTCTCTCGAACGAGGCTAAATATACATTATCATACAAATGTTTAATTTATTGGTTTAGTTCGTCACATGTGAAGATCGACGTTTGTCCCAGAGACAATCAGACGTTCTATCCGTCTGAAGCAGACCGATAAAACGTGTTAGACGATCCAAACTTAACTGAGCCAGACATGAACTTAAATCATT